TGAATTGTATGGGCAGACAGAATGTGGAGTGGCGGACCATCAAATGCGGGAAATAATGGTCCGCCCGAATATGACTCTGATAATGACTACATTCTTGGAGCAGCCGCTGCTGCGGTATTCTATACGGCATACTTGGAACATCCACTTCCGACTCCTAGAAATAATAGCCACTACACAGGTACGCAGCGTCTAAGTGATTTGTTAAATGGACACGAGATGGTAATATACAATAAGATTAGGATGGACAGCGATTGCTTTAGGCGACTAAGTTGGTTACTCGAATAAAAGAATTTATTGAGGAGTACTAGAAATATGAGCAATTGATCATTTTCTTGACAATTGTTTGTCAAAGTGAAAACAATAAAGAGACACAACATCAATGGCAACACTCGGGGGCTACAATTTCAAAGTACTTCATGGTAGTGTTAAATGCCATATTTCGTCTGCGCTATGATTTTATTAAGCCACCTGACTTTAACAGCATCGATCCACTTATTGAGGCAAGTGGGAACAAGTACAGACCTTGGTTCATGTAAGGCATATCAGTCATTTTTTTCGTCTTCGTATTTAACATTATGATAACACAATATTTTGAGATTCATAATAACATTTATTCTATTTGTCGCAGAACTGTGTTGGCGCGCTTGACGGGACGCACATTCCATGTGTACCGCCGCCAGAAAATGCATAGGTCTAGAGAAATAGGAAGGGATTCAACTCACAAAATGTTTTGGGAGTGTGTTCCTTCGACATGAAGTTCATGTATATGCTTTCTGGGTGGGAGGGTTCTGCACACGACGCACGAGTTCTTGAATCAGCACTTGAAACGCAAGAAAAGAAATTCCCTATCCCTCCACCAGGTACACACAAATCCTAAAATGGGTAATAATTCGAGTTTGAATCGATGTGGGTTTAAAAAGTTGTTACAAGTATGCTAAAACAGTTTTTGTTCCCACCATGTAGGAAAATTTTATTTAGTAGACTCCGGTTACGCTAACACAGGTTGTTTCCTAGCTCTTTATCACGGTTGTACGTACCACTTGCAAGAGTATAGGGCTCGTCGAGGTCGACCTCGAAGTGAGCAGGAGTTATTTAACTACACTCATTCATCGCTTAGGAATTGTATTGAGCGGACGTTCGGGGTGTGGAAAGCGAGGTTCCGCATTCTAAAGATAATCAACAATTACCCGATAAAGAAACAAGCGAGAATACCTATTGCTTGCACTGTGATACATAACTTCATATGTATGTATCAACATGATGACAATTTCATAAATCAATGCTTACAAGATAGGGTACCGGTAAGTGAAATTGACTCCCTGAACGTGGATGAGGATGTCAATCAAAATCATAACCCAGATCGGAGTATGGAAGGATCAAGAAACACCGCGAGTCAAAGGGAGATGGGTCCTATGAGGGATGAAATAGCGAGAACTATGTGGCAGGCGCATGGTGGAAATAACAATCAAACACGTATCAGTTACCATATATGAAATATTTATTTTGTAACAGGTTATGTTGGATTGTAGTCGCAAATTCAATGATCTGTAATTTTGGATTTTTGTGCATAACATTATACGCACATTATTACGAATTGGTAGTATGCTTTTTTTTAATTTCCGTGTTTTTCAAGTTTTTTTTCTTTTTTTTTTTTTCATTTCCCAACTTGAATGGGGGTGGTGGTTGGAATTGTGAAATTGGTGAAGTGAACACTCATAACTTGAATTGGGAAGAAGGTTTGAATCACCATGTGCACTCCTAAACACTAACTTTGATTTCAGTTTTAATTTCAATTTGAATTATAACTTCAATCATGCACTCAATTCAAATCACAAATTGTAATCGACGAAGTGAATGAAACCTAATGCTATATTTGGTAGAAAGGAAAGAAAATATGATAGAAATGAAATATGAAAGTGATGAAAAATAACAATGATAGAAAGGAAATTGAATTTCTTTTATGTTGTTTGGTATGAGAAGATTGAAAGAAAATGAGCTTACCTTCACTTGTTTGGTATTGAAAGTTAAATTAAGAGGAAAGAAAAAATCTTACTCATAAATTACTTTTATACCATTAAATTTTTTGCTTGGATGTTGATGGAGAAAATGGTAGTTTAGTTACTTTGCTCACTTTAATGAGTTGTCCCTATTTTTCATTCTATTTTCTGCCCACTTGTGAAAAGAAAAAAAATGGTAGGATCCACATGTATTATTTTTCACTTTATTTTCTCTTCTTTTCTTTTTTCTCTCCTACCAAACGATCTACACTTTTATTTTTCCTCTTAAAATCTCAACCTTCTTCCTTCTTTTTACTTTTTTTTCCTACCAAACATACTCTAAGTATACACATCAGCAAAGCCTGTTAGACAAGCTAAAATGCTAAAATAACCAACTTGATCTAATAAGTACTCAAGAAACGTGGCAAAATACCATTGTGGCGTTGATTAATAGGCAAACTTGTTCTTTGTCTCACTTTG